AGTGAAGAAGCACGCCCCATGCATTGACACAATCACTGAAGGAATGAGGGGGAGAGGATAACTAAATCTAATCATCTCCTTGTTCAGTGATCGATAATCAATGCACGGGCGCAGACAGCTGTCTTTCTTCTTCACAAAGAAGAAACTCGAGGAGGCGGTTGAAGTGGAGGGATGTATATACCCCTGGCCCAGGGACTCGGAGACGCATGTTTCCATAGCCTCCGTTTCAGCCTGTGACAGGGGGTACACATGACTCCTGGGAGGTATAGCGTCTACCCGAAGGTTTATCGCGCAATCCCCCGCCAGATGAGGTGGTAATTTAGTAGCACGCGTCTTTGAAAAACGTGTGCGCCAAATCTAGGTATTCGGGGGGAATGCGCACGTTGGAGGTACCGTCTGGACTTTCCACCGTGGTTGCACCAACGGAAACATCTAGACACCTACCCTGACACTCTTGCGACCACCCCGTGAGAGGCCTCTGCGGCCATAAGAAGGTGGGGTTGTGGAGTGCTAGCCAAGGGATACCTAATACCACAGGGAAAGCAGGAGACTCAATAATCAAAAAAATTACCTGCTCATAATGTGTCTCCTGGGTGATCATGGTGACTGGTATAGTGACTTCCATAACAAACCCGGACCCTAATGGTCGATTAACGAGTGCTCTGATGGGGAGTGGAATGGATAGGGTGAACCAATGAAATGCCTTGACGGCGTGCGAATGCCCTGTCCATAAAGTTCCTAGCTACGCCTGAATCGACTAGCGCCTTACACTGGGGAACTACAATGTGATCGGGAAAGTGGATAGGTAGGGTACAGTGCGCAGCAGAGGGCTCTGAACAAGTGTGGGTGTTCGATACCTGGGGTGATGCGTGAGTGCCCTGCCTGCCGCCTCCAGGCCCAAAAGAACGTTGACTACGACATATGGTGTACTGTCCCTTCGTGCCACCAGAGTGGCACTGTCGCCAGTTGTGTGTGTGTGGGGGGGGGGGGGGGTTTACAGAAGATAGCCCTATTTGGTAAAAGACCAAGTATGTATATATGTATGTATGTATGTATGGATGGATGTATGTATGGATGTATACGTTTATGTATATATATATATGTGTATGTACAGTGACTTGCGAAAGTATTCCCCCCCCTTGGCATTTTTCCTATTTTGTTGCCTTACAACCTGGAATTAAAATTGATTTTTTTGGAGGTTTGTATAATTTGATTTACCCAACATACCTACCACTTTGAAGATACAATATATTTTTTATTGTGAAACAAAGAAGAAATAAGACAAAAAAACAGAAAACGTGCATAACTATTCACCCCCCCCCAAAGGCAATAATTTGTAGAGCCACCTTTTGCAGCAATTACAGCTGCAAGTCTCTTGGGGTATGTCTCTATAATCTAGGGTTCTGCTGGTGTACAGCAATCTTTAAGTCATACCACAGATTCTCAATTGGACTGAGGTCTGGGCTTTGACTAGGCCATTCCAAGACATTTAAATGTTTCCCCTTAAACCACTCGAGTGTTGCTTTAGCAGTATGCTTAGGATCCCCGTCCCAGTCTCAAATACTCTCTGGAATACTGAAACAAGTTTCCCTCAAGAATTTCCCTGTATTTAGCACCATCCATCATTCCTTCAATTCTGACCAGTTTCCCAGTCCCTGCTGATGAAAAACATCCCCACAGCATGATGCTGCCACCACAATGCTTCACTGTGGGGATGGGGTCCTCGGGTTGATGAGGGTGTGGTTTGTCCCAGACATAAGTTTTCCTTAAAGGGAAAAAATAATTTTAGTCTCATCTGACCAGAGTACTTCTTCCATATGTTTGGGGATTTCACACAGCTTGGTTTGAAACATTACTTGACATTTTAGAAATTTTAAATCAGACGCTCTTATCCAAAAGCCCACTACAGTTAGTGAGTGCATCTTTCCATATGGCCCCCTGGGGATCGACCCCCAACCTGGCGTTGAAAGCGCTGCTCTACCAACCGTGGACTTTTGCAGCTCCTTCAGGTTATCTTGGCTCTTTGTTGCCTCTCTTTTATTAATTGCCTCTTGGGCCGGGTCCAGGGTTTTTGATGGGCGGCCCTCTCTTGGCAGGTTGTTGTGGTGCCATATTCTTTAAATTTTTTTCTAATAATTGGTTTTAATGGTGCTCCGTGGGATGTTCAAAGTTTCTTATATTTTTTTATAACCCAACCCTGATCTGTCCTTCTCCACAACTTTGTCCCTGACCTGTTTGGAGAGCTCCTTGGTCTTCATGGTTCCGCTTGCTTGGTGGTGCCCCTTGCTTAGTGGTGTTGCAGACTCTGCGGCCTTTCAGAACAGGTGTGTATATATACTGAGATCATGTGACAGATCATGTGACACTTAGATTGCACACAGGTGGACTTTATTTAACTAATTATGTGACTTCTGAAGGTAATTGGTTGCACCAGATCTTATTTAGGGGCTTCAAAGCTAAGGGGGTGAATACATATGCACGCACCACTTTTCCATTATTCATTTTCTATATTTTTTTGAAATAAGTTATTTTTTAAATTTCACTTCACCAATTTTGACTATTTTGTGTATGTCCATTACATGAAATCCAAATAAAAAATCCATTTAAATTACAGGTTGTAATGCAACAAAATAGGAAAAACGCCAAGGGGGATGAATCATTTTGCAAGGCAATGTATGTACAGTTGAAGTCGGAAGTTTACATACACTTTAGCCAAATACATTTAAACTCCACAATTCCTGACATTTAATCCTAGTAAAAATTCCCTGTTTTAGGTCAGTTAGGATCACCACTTTATTTTAAGAATGTGAAATGTCCGAATAATAGTAGAGAGAATGATTTATTTCAGCTTTTATTTCTTTCATCCCATTCCCAGTGGGTCAGAAGTTTACATACACTCAATTATTATTTGGTAGCATTGCCTTTAAAGTGTTTAACTTCAGTCAAACGTTTCGGGTAGTCTTCCACAAGCTTCCCACAATAAGTTGGGTGAATTTTGGCCCATTCCTCCTGACAGAGCTGGTGTAACTGAGTCAGGTTTGTAGGCCTCCTTTCTCGCAAACGCTTTTTCAGTTCTGCCCACAACTTTTCTATAGGTTTGAGGTCAGGGCTTTGTGATGGCCACTCCTATACCTTGACTTTATTGTCCTTAAGCCATTTTGCCACAACTTTGGAAGTATGCTTGGAGTCATTGTCCATTTGGAAGACCCATTTGCGACCAAGCTTTAACTTCCTGACTGATGTCTTGAGATGTTGCTTCAATTTATCCACATAATTTTCCTTCCTCATGATGCCATCTATTTTGTGAAGTGCACCAGTCCCTCCTGCAGCAAAGCACCCCCACAGCATGATGCTGCCACCCCTGTGCTGCTTGGGATGGTGTTCTTCAGCTTGCAAGGGCCCCCTTTTTCCTCCAAACATAACGATGGTCATTATGGCCAAACAGTTCTATTTTTGTTTCATCAGACCAGAGGACATTTCTCAAAAAAGTATGATCTTTGTCCCCATGTGCAGTTGCAAACCGTAGTCTGGCTTTTTTATGGTGGTTTTGGAGCAGTGGCTTCTTCCTTGCTAAGCGGCCTTTCAGGTTATGTCGATATAGGACTCGTTTTACTGTGGATATAGATACTTTTGCACCTGTTTCCTCCAGCATCTTCACAAGGTCCTTTGCTGTTGTTCTGGGATTTATTTGCACTTTTCGCACCAAAGTACATTCATCTCTAGGAGACAGAACGTGTCTCCTTCCTGAGCGGTATGACGGCTGCGTGGTCCCATGGTGTTTATACTTCAGTACTATTGTTTGTACAGATGAACGTGGTACCTTCAGGCGTTTGGAAATTGCTCCCAAGGATGAACGAGACTTGTGGAGGTCTACATTTGTTTTTCTGAGGTCTTGGCTGATTTCTTTTGATTTTCCCATGATGTCAAGCAAAGAGGCACTGAGTTTGAAGGTAGGCCTTGAAATACATCCACAGGTACACCTCCAATTGACTCAAATGATGTCAATTAGCCTATCAGAAGTTTCTAAGGCCATGACATCATTTTGTGGAATTTTACAAGCTGTTTAAAGGCACAGTCAACTTAGTGTATGTACATTTCTGACGCACTGGAATTGTGATACAGTGAATTATAAGTAAAATAATCTGTCTGTAAACAATTGTTGGAAAAATTACTTGTGTCATGCACAAAGTAGATGTCCTAACCGACTTGCCAAAACTATAGTTTGTTAACAAGAAATGTGTGGAGTGGTGAAAAACTAGTTTCAATGACTCCAACCTAAGTGTTTGTAAACTTCCGACTTCAACTGTACATTTTGGTCATGTAGTGTATGTTCTGATAACCTTCGTTTTTTATCCCCTGTGAATATTATACTACGCAATTGTATCTACTCCGAGACCAAGGGCCGGAGTAGAAAGGCCCTCCAAAGAAAGGTCAAAGGCCAGACTAGGAAGGTGATTGCTAAGTTGCGACTAGGACATTGTTTATTGAACTCATCATTACATCTGGTTGGCAAGTATGTGAATGTTTTGTGACCAGATTGTATATTCGGTGAAACGGTGGAGCATGTGTTGTGGTATTGTTGTAAGTATGTTGAAGAGAGGGAAACATTTATGTGTACGGTTATTGATGTTGGACAGGGTTGGGGGGGGGGGGGGGTTTGGGGAATCGAGAAGGGTTTGTAGGGCTCTTTTTTATGTCCTTAGTAGTTCATTATTAGGTAGGAGGTTTTTTGTGTTTATTTGATTTTATACTAATGTTGCTAGAGCTACTACTGTATGTAGTAAACCGTGATGACCACACTCTCCAGCACAGTAGTTGGCGCCATGCACCCTAAACGTTTGTTTGCGGACCGCCATTATAGCATAGAAGGAGAAGGAGAAGGAGAAGAAGAAACCGAATTCCCCCAGTGTTGTTATTGACTCTTTCTTGCATGACAATAAGCTATCTAACGTTAGCTAGCTAGCAAGCAACCGTAAGTAGCAGACTTGGATGTATTTTAATGTCTGTCTGTTTCTAACACACTAACGTTAGGTTAACGTTACATGGTAACGTAGCGTATGCTGCTAGCCAGTTTATATCATTGTCAGCTAGCGAGCTATCACTAGCATCAATCTACAGTGTTACGTTAGTCTATACAATTATGTTGAGTGACTCATGATTACAAAACCGTATCACGGTCGTGCCCAACAAGTGAGTATTTTCCTGCAGGGGCTTCAATGGGACATGCCAGGACGTCAGGGCTGTTTAGCGTTAGCTTTGACTTTTTGTCTCTGAATGGGGTTTCCACTAGTTATCACAGCCACAAAGTTTTAATTATGGCTAAAGTTTACCCTGCCTATTTCTCAAATGTATCTTCTTAAAATCAGATTTTAAACCTAACATTAACCACACTGCTAACCTTATGCCTAACCCTAACTGTAAATTAAGACCAGACATTTTTGTTTTCATTAATTTCTACGTTGTAGCCAGTAACAACCATCTGAATGGGCTTGCTATCGTTTGCACTTTCCATTCTGTAATCTTACCTAGCTAACGTTAGCTGTCTGAGTTATTGTTTAGGTAGCTAGCTATATCTTACCTTTACTTTTCAACAGTTTTAGGCAGCTAGCTAACATAAAGGAAAGAGTGGACAAAGACGAGGAGCGGGACACCAATACATTCTACAGAGATGGGTGCTGTTGTTTCCCGGTGGAAGGTAACTATATGCACGTTAAACAAGTCCGTAACATTAGGATTATTATAGCTACACTAGCTATCTAAGGATTCTAGCGACGCTGGTTTATAAGCGCGGATATCGACTCTGCCACTTGAGCATGCTTTTTTTGGCACAGTCGATGGCTCGCTGGGCTTCGGGCCAGAAGGTTGAGGGTTAGAGCCGCACTCCTGTTTCATTACATTGGTGTCAGATGTGGGAACCCTTAATCTTCTGGCCCAGCAGTCCATCGACTGTGCCACAACAGCATGCTCATGTGGCAGAGTCGATATCTGAGCTTATTAAAATGTTTACTTTTACCATTATTTAACTAGGCAAGTCAGTTAAGAACAAATTCTTATTTACAATGACGGCCTACACCAGCCAAACCCAGACGACGCTGGGCCAATTGTGCGCCGCCCTATGGGACTCCCAATCACGGCCGGTTGTGATACAGCCTGGAATCGAACCAGTTAGACCGCTGCGCCACATACATCTGGAGAATATGTCTACTCAACGGCCTAACTAGCTAGCTACCAACCCAATGCTCCCTTAGCATTTCAAGCTTTCAGTTTAATGCAATCAAGTAGCCTACATCACTGACTAGTCAACTATACTGTACTGTCTGGCTAGTTTCAAAATGGAATTGAGCCAATGTTTTTGGCGTTGTTTGAGGGCATGCATGATGTGTTGAAGTTACAGATGTTTATAATATCTATTATAGGGACAGTTGTCTTTTATACATATTAGCCTAGTTACCTTTTATATTAAGAGAGAGCAAAAACATTGCATTCAGCACACACATATGGTCCTAGCCATTTGTTTTGTGATTCAGAAGTAAATTGTATCTAATCTTCGAACAGGCTAAACCAACGACGGTTGAACTTCTAGAAGGCATTGACAAGGTAAGTATTAGGTTAAATATTGCTATAATCCCTACTTTTCAACATTATATAGGCTTCTGGTATTAAAAACAGTTTCTACAGTCAATATACATTTACATTTTAGTCATTTAGCAGATGCTCTTATCCAGAGCGACTTACATGAGCAATTAGGGTTAAGTGCCTTGCTTAAGGGCACATCGACAGATTTTTCACCTAGTCGGCTCGGGGATTAGAACCAGCGACCTTTCGGTTACTGGCACAACGCTCTTACCCACTAAGCTACCTACAGGACCAAGCTTCTCCCGCAGTCCTGTCCATGAGCTTCATCTTGTATCCCCCTGTAATTATCAGTCAGGCAGTGATCTGTTTTGATATTTTAGTGATAGGCACAGATGTCTACAACTCTGACTTTGGCCAGCACATTGGCCGTCAGATACTAGGAAAGAGGTTATACTTTTTTGAGAAGAATTAGAAGAAACAAAGCTTGACATTTTACAAAACCCTTTTCATGTGTAGCATAAGGCTGGGTTAATACTCTGGCATTACCCAAGCATTCCATAATTTAATATAATCAAACTATAGTGACCTGTTTTCTTTTTAAAAATACTTGTCATGGCATTTTGTTGTCTTTTCAGGATATTAAGGACCTTGAGGAATTTAGAGCGAAGAATCAGAGACTGGAGAAGTTGTGGGTGGGAAGACTACTTCTGTATTCATCTGTGCTCTATCTTATTACTTGCATAAGTGTTTACTTCTGGTATCTCCCCGAACAATGGACAGGACGCATCGTGATGACTTTGCCCTTATTTTTATTTCCTATATTGTAAGTATAGCCTACTCTGTCCTCTGTCACACATAACCTTAAAAGGGCAATCTGGGATAACAGCTGAGCCATGGGACTGGAGGAATGTACCCACTCTCAAATTCATAGACGGCACTGATCAAAATCATGTTTTATAGCTATACAGTGTTGGTTTGAAATTACATTGTTTACAAACATGGTAAATAAGGCATTCATAAGTTGTATTCTTCAAGAATCAATCAATGGCTGTCCTTTATTTAAAAGTAAAAAAATGTATGCACTAATTCCAGATTGCCTCTTTAAGTATGTATACTATTATGTGCATGTAGCTTACTTTGTAAAGATGTTTGTTGGCAGTTCAAAAGTACCTCGGGGCACATAAGTCAGAGAAGATGCCGAGCATCCACACATTTTTCATTAACATGAAATCTCCCAAGCACAGACAGATGTTTTATATTTATTGTTTCAATCAATATTTCATCTTATTCCACAACTGTTCTGGTTTTGTGTATCTAATGCCAAAGTTACTTTTCAATATGTAGGCCTATGCTACTCATTCAGGTCATCAAAATGTCCCGCCAAGTAAAAACACCACCACATAATCTTCAAAGTGAAGAGTCTTCTGTATTGTTCCATTGATCACAAATTGCTTTACCACAGAAAGTGATGCTCTCTCTGAACTGCTTTTCTGAGTAACTATTCAACAATGGAAGACTGTTTCTGCTGCATTCTAATATTCCTGATTGCTTTTCAGAGTGTGGTTTATGAGGAAGCTGCTGATATTCCTTTTCTCAAAGCGAACAGAAAGAAACAGTAAGGCTTCTCTTATTTTAAATTGTATATTTTTTATTGGCCCATCCACCACCACATTTTTGTTTTTACAAACATAGGATTCTCTTCTTTACATTAAGTTTAGCTTGTCTTGTTTTGAATTGCAAGTCATTGTAAAAAAAAATAATATGTACAGTACCAGTCAAAAGTTTGGACACACCTACTCATTCAAGGGTTTTCCTTATTTTCTTTACTATTTTCTACATTGTAGAATAATAGTGAAGACATCAAAACTATGAAATAACACATTTACATTTTAGTAATTTAGCAGACGCTCTTATCCAGAGCGACTTACAGTTAGTGAGTGCATACATTTTTCATACTGGCCCCCCGTGGGAAACGAACCCACAAACCTGGCGTTGCAAGCGCCATGCTCTACCAACTGAGCTACAGGACTAATCAGGTAACACATATGGAATCATGTAGTAACCAAAAAGTGTTCAACAAATCAAAATATATTTTATATTTGAGATTCTTCAAAGTAGCCACCCTTTGTCTTGATGACAGCTTTGCACACTCTTGGCATTCTCTCAACCAGCTTCATGAGGTAGTCACCTGTAATGCATTTAAATTAACAGGTGTGCCTTCTTAAAAGTTAATTTGTGGAATTTCTTTCCTTAATACGTTTGAGCCAATCAGTTGTGTTGTGACAAGGTATGGGTGGTATACAGAAGATAGCCTTATTTGGTAAAAGACCAAGTCCATATTATGGCAAGAACAGCTCAAATAAGCATTACTTTAAGACATGAAGGTCAGTCAATACGGAACATTTCAAGAACTTTGAAAGTTTCTCCAAGTGCAGTCGCAAAAACCATCAAGCGCTATGATGAAACTGGCTCTCATGAGTACCACCACAGGAAAGGAAGACCCAGAGTTACCTCTGCTGCAAAGGATACGTTCATTAGAGTTAACTGCACCTCAGATTGCAGCCCAAATAAATGCTTCACAGAGTTCAAGTAACAGACACATCTCAACATCTACTGTTCAGAGGAGACTGCATGAATCAGGCCTTCATGGTCGAATTGCTGCAAAGAAACCACTACTAAAGGACACCAATAAGAAGAAGATACTTGCTTGGGCCAAGAAACACGAGCAATGGACATTAGAACGGTGGAATTCTGTCCTTTGGTCTGATTAGTCCAAATTTGAGATATTTGGTTCCAACCGCCATGTCTTTGTTAGACGCAGAGTAGGTGAACGGATGATCTCCGCATGTGTGATTCCCACCGGGAAGCATGGAGGAGGGGGTGTGATGGTGTGGGGGTGCTTTGCTGTTGACACTGTGATTTATTTAGAATTCAAGGCACACTTAACGAGCATGGGTACCAAAGCATTCTGCAGCGATACGCCATCCCATCTGGTTTGCGCTTAGTGGGACTTTCACTTGTTTTTCAACAGGACAATGACACAACACACCTCCAGGCTGTGTAAGGGCTATTTGACCAAGAAAGAGAGTGATGGAGTGCTGCGTCAGATGATCTGGCCTCCACAATCACCCAACCTCAACCCAATTGAGATGGTTTAGGATGAGTTGGACCGCAGAGTGAAGGAAAAGCAGCCAACAAGTGCTCAGCATAATTGGGAACAACTTCAAGACTGTTGGAAAAGCATTCCAGGTGAAGCTGTTTGAGAGAATGCCAAGAGTGTGCAAAGCTGTAATCAAGGCAAAGGGTGACTAACACTTTTTTGGTTTCTATATGATTCCATATGTGTTATTTCATAGTTTTGATGTCTTCACTATTATTCTACAATGTAGAAAATAGTAACAAATAAAGAAACCCTTGAATGTAGGTGTGTCCAAATGTTTCACTGGTACTGTGTGTATATGTGTATATATATATATATATATATATATATATATATATATATATATATATATATATATATATATACACACACACACACACACACACACAGTGGGGAGAACAAGTATTTGATACACTGCTGATTTTGCAGGTTTTCCTACTTACGAAGCTTGTAGAGGTCTGTAATTTTTATCATAGGTACACTTCAACTGTGAGAGACGGAATCTAAAACAAAAATCCAGAAAATCACATTGTATGATTTTTAAGTAATGAATTTGCATTTTATTGCATGACATAAGTATTTGATACATCAGAAAAGCATAACTTAATATTTGGTACAGAAACCTTTGTTTGCAATTACAGAGATCAAACGTTTCCTGTAGGTCTTGACCAGGTTTGCACACACTGCAGCAGGGATTTTGGCCCACTCCTCCATACAGACCTTCTCCAGATCCTTCAGGTTTCGGGGCTGTCGCTGGGCAATACGGACTTTCAGCACTCTCCAAAGATTTTCTATTGGGTTCAGGTCTGGAGACTGGCTAGGCCACTCCAGGACCTTGAGATGCTTCTTACGGAGCCACTCCATAGTTGCCCCGGCTGTGTGTTTCGGGTCGTTGTCATGCTGGAAGACCCAGCCATGACCCATCTTCAATGCTCTTACTGAGGGAAGGTTGTTGGCCAAGATCTCGCGATACATGGCCCCATCCATCCTCCCCTCAATACGGTGCAGTCGTCCTGTCCCTTTTGCAGAAAAGCATCCCCAAAGAATTATGTTTCCACCTACATGCTTCATGGTTGGGATGGTGTTCTTGCCGTTGTACTCATCCTTCTTCTTCCTCCAAACACGGCGAGTGGAGTTTAGACCAAAAAGCTCTATTTTTGTCTCATCAGACCACATGACCTTCTCCCATTCCTCCTCTGGGTCATCCAGATGGTCATTGGCAAACTTCAGACGGGCCTGGACATGCGCTGGCTTGAGCAGGGGGACCTTGCGTGCACTGCAGGATTTTAATCCTTGACGGCGTAGTGTGTTACTAATGGTTTTCTTTGAGACTGTGGTCCCAGCTCTCTTCAGGTCATTGACCAGGTCCTGCCGTGTAGTTCTGGGCTGATCCATCACCTTCCTCATGATCATTGATGCCCCACGAGGTGAGATCTTGCATGGAGCCCCAGACTGAGGGTGATTGACCGTCATGTTGAACTTCTTCCATTTTCTAATAATTGCGCCAACAGTTGTTGCCTTCTCACCAAGCTGCTTGCCTATTGTCCTGTAGCCCATCCCAGCCTTGTGCAGGTCTACAATTGTATCCCAGATGTCCTTACACAGCTCTCTGGTCTTGGCCATTGTGGAGAGGTTGGAGTCTGTTTGATTGAGTGTGTGGACAGGTGTCTTTTATACAGGTAACGAGTTCAAACAGGTGCAGTTAATACAGGTATTGAGTGGAGAACAGGAGGGCTTCTTAAAGAAAAACTAACAGGTCTGTGAGAGACGGAATTCTTACTGGTTGGTAGGTGATCAAATACTTATGTCATGCAATAAAATGCAAATTAATTACTTAAAAATCATACAATGTGATTTTCTGGATTTTTGTTTTAGATTCCGTCTCTCACGGTTGAAGTGTACCTATGATAAAAATTACAGACCTCTACATGCTTTGTAAGTAGGAAAACCTGCAAAATCGGCAGTGTATCAAATACTTGTTCTCCCCACTGTATATATATTAATGTAAATGTCTCTTAAAATGCAGATGTTTGAAAATGCATGTGTGTTTCATGACAAATACTCAACAACGCATGCCTCGTCACTTTTGTTTCAGATGACAAACTAGAAGATTTAAAAGTTGGAAAAAGAAAAATCGTAAGTGTAGATTTTTATATCTTCCAATTATTTTTATATCATTCAGGGCAGGGCTGGTTTCCTGGGCACAACTTAATCCTAGTCCTCGACTAAAAAGCATGCTCAATGGAGAAACCAGCCCTTAGTGTTTTGAAGTAAACGTGTCATTGTCATTGATCCAGAGCTGATATCTTAATGACACAATGACACTTTCCCTGATTGCCTTTTAATAGTCCTAAACGTTTAATCATGTCTGGAGCTCCTTGCACAACTCTCATGCGCTCTGACCTTTGAAACCCATTATGATGTAATTTGTGCTGATCTATGCATAATACACCCCTGTGACCCAAACCCTAATTCCCAGTGCTAAGAAATTATCTAAAATCAATGCAGACAGCAGGCTAATTGGCAGAGAGACTGTGTTCAATAAAGCGCTCCCTTAACGATACTTTGTAAATTAATAGCAGTAAGCATTTAGAGGATGTCATGTCTAATAACTTCCAATAATTGTGGCTGATGGATTTTCACACCCCATTATCGATATTGCTGCGTGTTATTATTTATCTTCTACTAGCAAACAATTCACACTGGTGTTTTCCTGATGCAAATTTGAATTGCAAACCATATGGTTGCTGACTTGCAAAATCAGAATTTCCTTACTTGGCAGTTTTGGTGTTCACGAACAGAGTTTTTTCTGCCACAGAGTACACATTTTCGGTTACAACAAATGAAACCACTAGGATAATGGTATAAGCGTAAAATTATTTTTAAATCCTGTTGTAAGGTATTTCCCCTATGATTTACTATTAGTGTTTATCATGTTATTGTAGCTTTTGTGTATTTAAAAAGGTCATAAAAAATATTTGCTCTGCTAGGGTTGCAAAGCTACCGGAAATTTACCAAAATTACCGGAGTCTTCTGTAATTTTGGTAATTAACAGGTAATCTATGGCAAGCAATGGTGACTTTGGTAATTTGTACTTGTATTCATTTTTGTATATCTGTGTCCATATTGTCCTTGAGTTTCTAGTGGATAGACCATATGGTTCAAGAGAAAATTGCCTAATTAATGAAAAAAGCATCTACAATGACATTATTTTCAATTAACTCTGCAACTCTTCCAACTATTGACTTTTCTCACAACATTTACAACAAAGACATAGTAAAATAAAGGTATATTAACAAATATATCAATGCTGAAACCCTCATAGTAAACAAACGGTATTCACTTAGTTGATGGTTTACATATTTGTATATATTTTGTGCAAAGGCCACACAGAGATAGACACCTGTGATAATCTGAAGTACCCCAAAAAGCCACTAGATGTTTTCTGATATACACTTAACAAAAATATAAGCACAACATGCAACAATTTGAAAGATTTAACTGAGTTAAAGTTACTAAGGAAATCGGTCAATTAAAATAAATGCATTATGCCCTAATCTATGTATATCACATGACTGGGAATACAGATATGCATCTGTTGGGCACATAATTTTTTTTTTTTAAATAGGGGCATGGATCAGAAAACCAGTCAGTATCTGATGTAACCACCATTTGCCTCATGCAGCGCGACATCTCCTTCGTCTACAGTTGATCATGCTGTTGATTGAGGCCTGTGGAATGTTGTCCCACTCCTCTTCAATGACTGTGCGAAGTTGCTGGATATTGGCGGGAACTGGAACGCGCTGTTGTACACGTCGATCCAGAGCATCCCAAACATGCTCAATGGGTGGCATGTCTGGTGAGTAGGCCATGGAAGAACTGGGACATTTTCAGCTTCCAGGAATTGTGTACAGATCCTTGTGACACAGTGCTGTGCATTATCATGCTGAAACATGAGGGGTTGGCGGCGGATGAATGGTACGACAATGGGCCTCAGGATCTCGTCACGGTATCTGTGCATTCAATTTGCCATTGATAAAATGCAGTTGTATACGTTGTCTGCCCATACCATAACCCCACCGCCACCATGGGGCACTCTGTTCACAACGTTGACATCAGCAAACCGCTCGCCCACACGACGCCATACTGCCGTATGCCCAGTACAGTTGAAACCGGGATTCATCTGTGAAGAGCACACTTCTCCAGCGTGCCAGTGGCTGTCAAAGGTGAGCATTTGCCCTATGAAGTCAGTTACAATGCCGAACTGCAGTCAGGTCAAGACCCTGGTGAGGACGACGAGCACGCAGATGAGCTTCCCTTAGAAGGTTTCTGACAGTTGGTGCAGAAATTATTCGGTTGTGCAAACCCACAGTTTCATCAGCTGTCCAGGTGGCTGGTCTCAGACAATCCCGCAGGTGAAGAAGCCAGATGAGGAGGTCCTTGGCTGGCATGGTTACATGTGGTCTGCGGTTGTGAGGCTGGTTGGACTTACTACCAAATACTCTAAAATGACGTTGGAGGCGGCTTATGGTAGATAAATGAACATTCAATTCTCTGGCAACAGGTCTGGTGGAAATTTCTGCAATCAGCATGCCAGTTGCACGCTCCGTCAAAACTGCACATTTTAGAGTGGCCTTTTATTGTCCCCCGCACAAGGTGCACTTGTGTAATGTTCATGCTGTTTAATCAGCTTCTTGATATGCCACACCTGTCAGGTGGATGGATTATCTTGGCAAAGGAGAAATGCTCACCAACAGGGATGTAAACAAATTTCTGCACAACATTTGAGAGAAATAAACATTTTGTGTGTATAGAACATTTCTGGGATGTTTTATTTCAGCTCATGAAAAATTGGACAAACACTTTAAATGTTGCGTTTTTATTTTTGTTCAGTATTACATTTACATTTACGTCATTTAGCAGACGCTCTTATCCAGAGCGACTTACAGTTAGTGAATACATTTGTTTTTTGTTTTGTTTTTTTATACTGGTATGTATGTATGTATACAGTGGGGAGAACAAGTATTTGATACACTGCCGATTTTTCAGGTTTTCCTACTTACAAAGCATGTAGAGGTCTGTAATTTTTTATCATAGGTACACTTCAACTGAGAGATGGAATCTAAAACAAAAATTCAGAAAATCACATTGTATGATTTTTAAGTAATTAATTAGCATTTTATTGCATGACATAAGTATTTGATCACCTACCAACCAGTAAGAATTCCGGCTCTCACAGACCTGTTAGTTTTTCTTTAAGAAGCCCTCCTGTTCTCCACTCATTACCTGTATTAACTAGACCTGTTTGAACTCGTTACCTGTATAAAATACCTGTCCACACACTCAATCAAACAGACTCCAACCTCCCCACAATGGCCAAGACCAGAGAGCAGTGTAAGGACATCAGGGATAAAATTGTAGACCTGCACAAGGCTGGGATGGGCTACAGGACAATAGGCAAGCAGCTTGGTGAGAAGGCAACAAGTGTTGGCGTAATTATTAGAAAATGGTTCAAGATGACGGTCAATCACCCTCGGTCTGGGGCTCCATGCAAGATCTCACCTTGTGGGGCATCAATGATCATGAGGAAGGTGAGGGATCAGCCCAGATCTACACGGCAGGACCTGGTCAATGACCTGAAGAGAGCTGGGACCACAGTCTCAAAGAAAACCATTAGTAACACACTACGCCGTCATGGATTAAAATCCTGCAGCGCACGCAAGGTCCCCCTGCTCAAGCCAGCGCATGTCCAGGCCCGTCTGAAGGTTGCCAATGACCATCTGGATGATCCAGAGGAGGAATAAGAGAAGGTCATGTGGTCTGATGAGACAAAAATAGAGCTTTTTGTTCTAAACTCCACTCGCCGTGTTTGGAGGAAGAAGAAGGATGAGTACAACCCCAAGAACGACCATCCCAACCGTGAAGCATGGAGGTGGAAACATCATTCTTTGGGGATGCTTTTCTGCAAAGGGGACAGTACGACTGCACCGTATTGAGGGGAGGATGGATGGGGCCATGTATCGCGAGATCTTGGCCAACAACCTCCTTCCCTCAGTAAGAGCATTGAAGATGGGTCGTGGCTGGGTCTTCCAGCATGACAACGACCCGAAACACACAGCCAGGGCAACTAAGGCGTGGCTCCGTAAGAAGCATCTCAAGGTCTTGGATTGGCCTAGCCAGTCTCCAGACCTGAACCCAATAGAAAATCTTTGGAGGGTGCTGAAAGTCCGTTTTGCCCAGGATCTGGAGAAGGTCTGTATGGAGGAGTGGGCCAAAATCCCTGCTGCAGTGTGTGCAAACCGGGTCAAGACCTACAGGAAACGTATGATCTCTGTAATTGCAAACAAAGGTTTCTGTACCAAATATTAAGTTCTGCTTTTCTGATGTATCAAATACTTTTACTAATTACTTAAAAATCATACAATGTGATTTTCTGGATTTTTGTTTTAGATTCCGTCTCACAGTTGAAGTGTACCTATGATAAAAATTACAGACCTCTACATGCTTTGTAAAGTAGGAAAACCTGCAAAATCGGCAGTGTATCAAATACTTGTTCTCCCACTGTATATACAAAAAAGTATTTAGTCAGCCACCAATTGTGCAAGTTCTCCCACTTAAAAAGATGAGGCCTGTAATTTTCATCATAGGTACATGTCAACTATGACAGACAAAATGAGAGAAAAAAATCCAGAAAATCACATTGTAGGATTTTTTATGAATTTATTTGCAAATTATGGTGGAAAATTAGTATTTGGTCAATAACAAAAGTTTCTCAATACTTTGTTATATACCCTTTGTTGGCAATGACACAGGTCAAACGGTTTCTGTAAGTCTTCACAAGGTTTTCACACACTGTTGCTGGTATTTTGGCCCATTCCTCCATGCAGATCTCCTCTAGAGCAGTGATGTTTTGGGGCTGTCGCTGGGCAACACGGACTTTCAACTCCCTCCAAAGATTTTCTATGGGGTTGAGATCTGGAGACTGGCTAGGCCACTCCAGGACCTTGAAATGCTTCTTACGAAGCCACTCCTTCGTTGCCCGGGCGGTGTGTTTGGGATCATTGTCATGCTGAAAGACCCAGCCACGTTTCATCTTCAATGCCCTTGCTGATGGAAGGAGGTTTTCACTCAAAATCTCACGATACATGGCCCCATTCATTCTTTCCTTTACACGGATCAGTCGTCCTGGTCCCTTTGCAGAAAAACAGCCCCAAAGCATGATATTTCCACCCCCATGCTTCACAGTAGGTATGGTGTTCTTTGGATGCAACTCAGCATTCTTTGTCCTCCAAACACGACGAGTTGAGTTTTTACCAAAAAGTTATATTTTGGTTTCATCTGACCATATGACATTCTCCCAATCCTCTTCTGGATCATCCAAATGCACTCTAGCAAACTTCAGACGGGCCTGGACATGTACTGGCTTAAGCAGGGGGACACGTCTTATTTGAGTCCCTGGCGGCGTAGTGTGTTATTGATGGTAGGCTTTGTTACTTTGGTCCCAGCTCTCTGCAGGTCATTCACTAGGTCCCCCCGTGTGGTTCTGGGATTTTTGCTCACCGTTCTTGTGATCATTTTGACCCCACGGGGTGAGATCTTGCGTGGAGCCCTAGATCAAGGGAGATTATCAGTGGTCTTGTATGTCTTCCATTTCCTAATAATTGCTCCCACAGTTGATTTCTTCAAACCAAGCTGCTTACCTATTGCAGATTCAGTCTTCCCAGCCTGGTGGAGGTCTACAATTTTGTTTCTGGTGTCCTTTGACAGCTCTTTGGTCTTGGCCATAGTGGAGTTTGGAGTGTGACTGTCTGAGGTTGTGGACAGGCGTCTTTTATACTGATAACAAGTTCAAACAGGTGCCATTAATACAGGTAACGAGTGGAGGACAGAGGAGCCTCTTAATGAAGAAGTTACAGGTCTGTGAGAGCCAGAAATCTTGCTTGTTTGTAGGTGACCAAATTCTTATTTTCCACCATAATTTGCAAATCCTACAATGTGATTTTCTGGATTATTTTTTCTCATTTTGTCTGTCATAGTTGACGTGTACCTATGATGAAAATTACAGGCCTCTCTCATCTTTTTAAGTGTGAGAACTTGCACAATTGGTGGCTGACTAAATACTTTTTTCCCCCCACTGTATGTATATGTGTGTGTAAAGGGCGGCAGGTAGCTTAGTGGTTAAGAGCGTAGTGCCAGTAACCGAAATGTCGCTGGTTCTAATCCCCGAGCCGACTACGTGAAAAATCTGTCGATGTGCCCTTGAGCAAGGCACTTAACCCTAATTCCTCCTGTAAGTTGCTCTGGATAAGAGCGTCTGCTAAATGACTAAAATGTAAATGTATATGTGTGTATATGGACACACCTACTCATTCAAGGGTTTTTCTTTATATTTACTATTTTCTACATTGTAGAATAATAGTGAAGACATTAAAACTATGAAATAACATATGGCATCATGTAGTAACCAGAAAAGTGTTAAACAAATCAAAGTTTCTTCAAAGTAGCCACCCTTTGCCTTGATGACAGCTTTGCACACTCTTGGCATTCTTTCAACCAGCTTCATGAGGTAGTCACCTGGAATGCATTTCAATTAACAGGTGTGCCTTCTTAAAAGTTAATTTGTGGAATTTCTTTCCTTCTTAATGCGTTTGAACCAATCAGTTGTGTTGTGACAAGGTATACAGAAGATAGCCCTATTTGGTAAAAGACCAAGTCCATATTATGGCAAGAACAGCTCAAATAAGCAAAGAGAAACGACAGTCCATCATTACTTTAAGACATGAAGGTCAGTCAATACGGAACATTTCAAGAACTTTGAACGTTTCTTCAAGTGCAGTCGCAAAAACCATCAAGCGCTATGATGAAACTGGCTCTCATGAGGACCGCCACTGGAAGTTCATTAGAGTTACCAGCCTCAGAAAATGCTGTGGTAGCCATGCTGGTTAAGTGTGCCTTGAATTCTAAATAAATCACAGACCGTGTCACCAGCATAGCACCCCCAACACCATAACACTTACTCCTCCATGCTTTACGGTGGGAAATACACATGCGGAGATCATCCGTACACCCACACCGCGTCTCACAAAGACACGGGTTGGAACCAAAAATCTCCAATTTGGACTAAATGACACATTTCCACCGGTCTAATGTCCATTGCTCCTGTTTATTGGTCCATGCAGGTATCTTCTTCTTATTGGTGACCTTTAGTATTGGTTTCTTTGCAGCAATTCTACCATAAAGGCCTGATTCACACAGTTCCCACTGAACAGTTGATGTTGAGATGTGTCTGTGACTTGAACTCTCTGAACCATTTATTTGGGCTGCAATTTCTGAGACTGGTAACTCTAATGAACTTATCCTCTGCAGCAGAGGTAACTCTGGGTCTTCCATTCCTGTGGCGGACCTCATGAGAGCCAGTTTCATCATAGCGCTTGATGGTTTTTGCGACTGCACTTGAAGAAACTTTGAAAGTTCTTGAAATGTTCCGTATTGACTGACCTTCATGTCTTAAAGTAATGATGGACTGTCGTTTCTCTTTGCATATTTCAGCTGTTCTTGCCATAATATGGACTTGGTCTTTTACCAAATAAGGCTATCTTCTGTATACCACCCCTACCTTGTCACAACACAACTGATTGGCTCAAATGCATTAAGAAGGAAAGAAATTCCACAAATTAACTTTTAAGAAGGCACAACTGTTAATTGAAATGCATTACAGGTGACTACCTCATGAAGCTGGTTGAGAGAATGCCAAGAGTGTGCAAAGCTGTCATCAAGGCAAATGGTGGCTATTTCAAGAATCTCAAATATAAACTATATTTTAATTATTTTAACACTTTTTTGGTTACTACATGATTCCATATGTTATTTCATAGTTTTAATGTCTTCACTATTATTCTACAATGTAAAAATAAAGAAAAACCCTTGAGTAGGTGTCTCCAAACTTTTAATAATATAATAATAATATAATATGCCATTTAGCAGACGCTTTTATCCAAAGCGACTTACAGTCATGCGTGCATACATTTTTTTTTGTGTATGGGTGGTCCCGGGGATCGAACCCACTACCTTGGCGTTACAAGCGCCGTGCTCTACCAGCTGAGCTACAGAGGACCACTTTTTGACTGGTAGTGTGTGTATATATATATTTTAACTTGAAATCTACTAAAATTCTTGTAGTTTAATGGTAATATACCCTCCCTTTGCAACCCAATGCTGTGCAGATAGAGTTCCTTAACCAATTTTATTTTTGGTACTTTTTTTCTACAGTTGGAAGAGGTGATGGAGACTGAAACCTACAAAAATGCCAAGTTAATTCTTGAGAGGTTTGATCCTGAAGCAAATAAAAAAGTGGCAAGTACAGTGTCTGTTTTTAAAGAAAACGAATCAATTATTTCTTCTGCTATTTCTTTCAATTATGAATTGATCTGAGATTGTTATTTAATTTTTAAAGGAAATGGAATTCACGCCAGTCAGGCCAGGTCAGATGACTCCTAGAACGGGCCAAGGTAAAGGCATCCTCTCTACATTAGTTGTGTTTCTGTATCGAAGCATAAAACCAGAGATTGAGAAACTATAAATGTCTTACTTTCCTTTTGATTGCTACCACATAATTCCTGTGGTTGACTAGGTTACATAGAATGTATCTGTTCATGTGCTCACGGTGTGAGCCTGAGCCAACAGTCCTGTAGAATTTTTTATTTTTAATGATTTTTTAAAAACCTTTATTTAACTAGGCAAGTCAGTTAAGAACAAATTCTTATTTACAATGACGGCCTACACCGGCCAAACCTGGACGACGCTGGGCCAATTGTGCGCCGCCCTATGGGACTCCCAATCACGGTCGGTTGTGATACTGCCTGGAATCGATCCAGGGGGTCTGTAGTGACGCCTCAAGCACTGAGATGCAGTGCCTTAGACCGCTGCGCCACTTCAGGAGAGCAGTCGCACACTTCCCTTTCTCTACCTTTTAGACTATGAACAAATACGTTTACCATAATGGAGTGAACACTTGTGCGAAAAGTTGTTTATTCAATGCCCCTTGGGGACTTCAGTTCAATCAATGGGGTCGGCAGGTATTCTTGATGTTATGCTGCAGGGTTGGGCAAACTACGAAATTACTGCCCTTTTTCTGGCCCAGAAATAAATTGACAAACAAATCGGTCAACAACAAAATAATCTGCGTGGCCCTCTGTTGATTTTATCGAAATCCCGATGTGGCCCTCGAGCAAAAAAGTTGCCCACCCCTGCACTAGTGTATACACACTTATGTTATACTGGGAAATTGTGTTTCCATAGCTAGTGCTGACAGTGAGGACTTGTGAAGTGCAGAATCAACAACCTCTGCATAATCAAAACAGTTGCTTTGTGAGAAGGTGTAAAAGTTCAGTTGCTTTGTGAGAAGGTGTAAAAGTTCACAGATAGCCAGTGTTATGCAAATGCCAGCTGAAAAGTACCAGTGGCCTGGCTTTGGCCCCAAGTGAGAGCAGGTCCACCGGAGCCATGGCCCAGTGAGACACGGGTGCCGGTCCACGTAGATGGAAACAAAAAAGCCTGAGCCTTTTGGGTAAAACACTGGGGTAAATCTTGTATGGAAATGTGCCGTTAGAGATGGGCTAGCAATCGGAATGTTGCCGTTTTGAATCCCTAATCAGACAGGAAAAATCTGGCATAATGTGAGCCGGCAACCAAGGGTTGCTGGTGTCAAATCCTAGATGCCATCTCTTGCCGTTGAGTACGGCAAGAACTCTGAGAACCAGTTGTGTAGTGTCCCCCATTTGAGAAAGAATACCTTTTCTACATGTCCCTCTTCTTCAGAACTCCGTCAACGCAACATAGCCATGAGGCCCCCTGTCATGGGAACTCCCATGACCCCCCCTCCTGGTGTCTGCCTCCCCATGGGCGCTGTAGCCACACCTACTGGTCCCCTTCCTCACTCGGCCCCAGGAGGACCCCCGGATAGAGGCCTGTCTGCTGCGGTCGCCCAGCAGACCATGATGAGGAGACCCCCTATGACCCCCTGTACCCCTATCCCAGGAATGGGTGAGTAAAGCTCTAATAGGATAGTTAGTAAACTGTAGGCTGCTTTGGCCAGAATTGTACAAACATTCTATAGCGCTTTGAGGTCCACCTATATCAGGGCCTACCAAACTTTTGTGGCCCACGACCCTATTTTGATATCAGAAACTTCTAGGTGACCCCACCATGTGAAAAAATGCTATGTAATCAATAGCAAGTTCAGTCTGACAGTATTTCTAGACAGTATTTCAATCAGGGAAGATCATCAGGCAATAATTGTGTATGATCTTATGTGTAGAAAATAACTATCATTGCTTGAATAGATTTGTCTACACTGCCTTGCACAGTTTTCACATTTTGCTGCCTTAAATTTCAATCTAAAAAGGGATTAAACTGATCTACACAATCTACTCAACATTTTCCAAGTTAAACTAATTTCCTGATGGCTCACTGCTCTTTGTACTGGGTGACGTCAACCTCCCGACGTCTGCCTTCGATTAATTTCTTTCCAACTGTTTCTTTCCCCTCCTTGCCTCTTTTGACCTCACCCTTTCCCAGTCCCCTCCCACTCACAAAGCAGGCAATACGCTTGACCTCATCTTTACTAGAGGCTGTTTGCACACTAATCTCACTGCAATCCCCTCCAGGTCTCTGATCACTACTTTGTTTCATTTTCTGTCTCCCTCTCCTCCAACCCTAGCCACTCAGCCCCTACCCAGATGGTCATGCGACGTCGCAATCTTCACTCTTTCTCCCGCTACTCTCTCTTCTTCGATCTTATCATCTCTCTCTTCTGCTAAATCCTTCTCCCTCCGGTCTCCTGATTCTGCCTCTTCGACCCTACTTTCCTCCCTTTCCGCATCCTATGACTCGCACTGTCTCCTTTCCTCCCAGCCTGCTCGGCCCTCCCCTCCTGCTCCGTGGCTGAGTGACTCATTGTGAGTTTACAGAATAGGGCTGCGGGCAGCTGAGCGACAATGGAGGAAAACTAAACTTCCGGAGGACCTATCATCCTTTCACTTCCTCCTCTCTAACTTCTCTTCCTCTGTATCTGCTGCTTTAGTCACTTTCTATCACTCTACATTTCAAGCTTCTGCCTCTAACCCTAGGAAACTATTTTCCACCTTTTACTCCCTCCTTAATCCGCAACCTCCTTACTCTCCCTCCTCCCTCTCTCTCCTCCCTCTCTGTGGATGACTTTGCCAGCCACTTTGACAAGAAGGTTGACGACATCCGCTCCTCATTCGCTAAGCCTATTGAGTCCACTGGTCCCACTCACTATATTTTGTCAGCTGGTGATTGTCAAGCAAATAACTGCTGGTCTCACAGTAATTGACCGTTAATTAACATAAACACATTTAGCATCTCCTGGCTTCCACGCATAGCCTACAAGCCACTGATGCAGACCTTTGGAACATCTACATTTAAAAAAGTGTAATAAATCCATGTACACCAAATCCTACACCATCACAATAAATCCATTATTTATTTTAGACAGGTCTAAAGAAACATGATATGAAGAAAATGTAGTCTATTTCAGAAGAACAGAATAGCATACTCTGAGTTGTCCTTATGTTAGGTCCTGATCTAGCTATGTCATATGGCTGTGGGCTACAGTAGTTCATTTAGCAGACAACATTTGCTTAGAATTCCGTGGTATTATTTTATAGTATGAAGAATACAATTGAACATGCATTTGGAAAGTATTCAAACCCCTTCACTTTTTCCACATTGTGTTACTTTACAGCCTTTTTTCTAACATGGATTAAATGTAAAAAAAAAAAGCGTCACGTCAATCTACACACAATGCCCCATAATGACAAAGCAAAAACGGGATTTTAGAAATTTTTGCAAATTTATTCAAAATAAAAAAACGATCACATTTAAATAAGTATTCAAAAGGCTCATAAAGGACTCTCAGACCATGAGAAACAAGATTCTCTGGTCTGATGAAACCAAGATTGAACTCTTTGGCCTGAACGCCAAGCGTCACGTCAATCTACACACAATACCCCATAATGACAAAGCAAAAACAGGATTTTAGAAATTTTTGCAAATTTATTAAAAATAAAAAACGATCACATTTAAATAAGTATTCAGACCATTTACTCAGTACTTTGTTGAAGCACCTTTGGCAATGATTACAGCCTCGAGTCTTCTTGGGTATGACGCTACAAGCTTGGAACACCTATATTTATGGAAGAACCCAATGGTCACTCTGACAAGCTCCTGAGTTCCTCTCTGCAGCAATCCATCAATCAGGCCTTTATGGTAGAGTGGCCAGACGGAAGCACATGACAGCCCACTTGGAGTTTGCCAAAAGGCTCCTAAAGGACTCTCAGACCATGAGAAACAAGATTCTCTGGTCTGATGAAATCAAGATTGAAATCTTTGGCCTGAACGCCAAGCGTCACGTCTGGAGGAAATTAGTCACCGCTCATCACCTGGCCAATACCATCCCTACGGTGAAGCATGGTGGTGGCAGCATCATGCTGTGGGGATGTTTTTCAGCGGCAGGGACAGGGAGACTATTCAGGATCAAGGGAAAGATGAACGGAGCAAAGTACAGAGAGATCCTTGATGAAAACCTGCTCCAGAGTGCTCAGGACCTCGAGACTGTGGCAAAGGTTCACCTTCCAACAGGACAACGACCCTAAGCACACAGCCAAGACAACACAGGACAAGTCTCTGAATGTCCTTGAGTGGCCCAGCCAGAGCCCGAACTTGAACCCGATCTAACATTTTTGGAGAGACCTGAAAATAGCTGTGCAGTGACACTCCCCATCCAGCCTGATCTGCAGAGTAGAATGGGAGAAACTCCCCTAATACAGGTGTGCCAATCTTGTAGCGTAATCCCCAAGAAGACTCGAGGCTGTAATCGCTGCCGAAGGTGCTTCAACAAAGTACTGAGTAAAGGGTCTGATTACTTACAGTACCAGTCAAAAGTTTGGACACACCTACTCATTCAAGGGTTTTTCTTCATTTTTACTATTGTCTACATTGTAGAATAATAGTGAAGACATCAAAACTATGAAATAACACAGATGGAATCATGTAGTAACCAAAAAAGTGTTAAACAAATCAAAATATATTTTATATTTGAGATTCTTCAAATAGCCACCCTTTGCCTTGATGACAGCTTTGCACACTCTTGGCATTCTCTCAACCAGCTTCATGGGGTAGTCACCTGGAATGCATTTCAATTAACTGGTGTGCCTTCTTAAAAGTTCATTTGTGGAATTTCTTTCCTTCTTAATGCATTTGAGCCAATCCGTTGTGTTGTGACAAGGTAGGGGTGGTATACAGAAGATAGCCTTATTTGGTAAAAGACCAAGTCCATATTATGGCAAGAACAGCTCAAATAAGCAAAGAGAAATGACAGTCGATCATTACTTAAAGACATGAAGGTCAGTCAATCTGGAAAATGTGGCCGAGCTGATGGGATCCTCCTCTTTTTAATAGAGGCCATCAAAACTCTGTTTTCTCAAGCAATTGCATAGCCTATAGAAATGTTGTGCAACATGAGCTCATGGGTTCTCATTAAGTGTTCGATTAGATTTCCAATACATTCGCATTGATGTCAGAGGGATTTAGAGGGACAATAGAGTGACAGAGTGCTGAGTACCAGGCAGTTTGCAAGTTTGGTAGGCTACTAATGATTATCTGCAGCATCAGAGCTTAAAGAAGCCTAATTACCATAACTAAACGGTCACATGGAATTTGACTGCCGTCATGACTCTTGACTGCTGGTGTGGCAGTAATACGGTCACCGTAACAGCCCTAGTCCCCCTAAGCTATCTTAAGATGAATGCCCTAACTGTAAGTCGCTCTGGATAAGAGCGTTGGCTAAATGATAAAATGTAAATGTATGAAATTAATTAAAATTAAACCACAAAGAAGTCTTGATTGCGAAGGTCTTTACACCCCTTGCTGTGGCACTGGCACATCTAAATAAGTTTGGGATGTAATATTTTCATACAAAATCAACAATTTTGGGGGATGAGGTCCATTTGTTTGCAAAAGTAGTGGTGCTCATGATTTAAGAACAACTTAACCGCTAGGTAGCCAAACGGTTAAGAACGTTGGGCCAGTAACCAAAAAGGTTGGTGGTTCGAATCTCCGAGCCGATTAGGTGAAAAATCTGTCGGTGCCCTTAAGCAAGGCACTTAACCCTAATTGCTCCTGTAAGTCGCTCTGGATAAGAGCGTATGCTAAATGACAAAAATATATAAATAAATTCCCCTGTCTCTGCAAGGTCACTCAATTTGATAGTGAATGTCAAACAATGATTCAACCTCAGAGCCACCAATTAGCTTTTAAAGCATGTCTGGGATACATTTTCAGACCAGCATAGGTTGAGAAATAATTGCAACAACGCCGTTAAGTAGTACTGCAAGACTGTTTGCCATGTTGTCTTGCAGTATTACTCAAATTAACTTTTTGGCCTATACTAACAACTTCAGGTTTGGGTCAAATCCAATACAACATCACTGAGTGAAACCCTCCGTAATTTCCAGTATTGTGGTGGAATAATCATGTTATGGATATGCTTGTCACTGGCAGGGACTTAGTTTGTCAGTATCAAATGAAATATTAAAGTAGCAAAGCCCAGGTAAAAAGTTAGTGGAAAACCTGCCTCAGTCCTCTGAATACCTTACCCTGGGATAGAGTTTTATTTTTCAGCGGGACAATTGCAAAAATTGTAATGCCACAGACACACCAGAATGGGTTTCCAAGAGGTGTTGAGTGTTCCTGAGTGGTCCAGTCTCAGTCCTGACTTAAATCTGCTTGATAATCAGAGACAAGGTTTGGAAATCGCTGTCCATCGATGGTTCCCAATCAAACCAGTTTTAGCAATTTTGACAAAAATAATGGTTTTGTTACCCTAAGAGTTGTGCAAAGTTTGATAGAATTATTCAAAATGATTCACAGCTGTAATTGCTGCTAAAGGTGCTTACACCAAGTATTAACTCTGACATCTTCATTTTTTATTAATTTAGAAAAGGTTCTATAATTTCTTTCACTTTCAAAATTTGGAGTAGGTTGTGTGGCTCATTATGTGGGGGAAAACACAAATGTAAATTACTTTTTGGGATTTTAATTTGAAGGCAGCAAAATTTAAAAACTGTGTGTAGACTTTCACTAGGCTCTGTGTGTAGCCCTCCAAGCTGCTTATTGGTTGTTAATGGTTTCCTGTGTAGATTATTAAAATAGTTGATCTTATTTTCCATAGCCAATACTTTATTATGTAACCAAAATCTAAATGCCATATTATGCACTAAACAAGTGTGATTTACATTCTTACCTTATTTCAAGGGGAACCTGTTAAAAACCAGCCTGTTGTAGTTTTTTAAAGGCTGTTGTATTAAAATGTGTAGAAACTAAACTAAGCACTAATTGTCACTGTGTTCCTATGATGTCATTGAATGATGTGCTATAATTTAATGTTAGGTATGCACCCCCCAGGCCCACCCCTGGCCAGACCCGTCTTACCTCGAGACAGAGGTGCTGTGGACAGAGTCATCGAATACCTTGTGGGAGATGGCCCTCAGAACAGGTCTGTACTTCCGTCCAGAGAGGCTCCCTTCTTAAATAAGCATTTCCAATTACCTCTTTACTGATGTGCTTCGTAGAGTACTATGCCTACAGTGAGCAGATGATCGTATTCTCTCTGGTTGGCCTCACTATTTTGTGCTCATCAGTTGTGACGGTTACTGTAACATACAGTTTTAAATGGCAGACCTTTACTAGAGTTCTCCTTTTAACAGTTTTGCATCTAGGCAACTTCAAGGTTAATCTCTTCTCAATGATATTTATGCTCTTTTATCCCCAGGTATGCCCTTATATGCCAGCAGTGCTTCTCCCATAATGGCATGGCATTAAAAGAGGAATTTGAATATATTGGTAAGATTTTGAGAAACACTGCTTCCTGTCACTACCCTACAAACACTGCATTAACTTTGCCCGTCGGTGCTTGGCAGCCAGCTTTGTATTTATTATGGATCCCGATTAGCTCTTCCTGGGGTCTTGCAAAATGTAAGGCAGTTATACAATTAAAAACATTACAATACATTCATATCAGATTTTTAAATCAGATTCTACTACTTGCATCAGTTACCTGATGTGGAATAGGAATAGAGTTCCATGTAGTCATGGCTCTATGTAGTACTGTGCGCCTCCCATAGTCTGTTCTGGACTTGGGGACTGTGAAGAGACCTCTGGTGGCATGTCTTGTGGGGTATGCATGGGTGTCTGAGCTGTGTGCTAGTCGTTTAAACAGACCGCTCGGTGCTTTCAACAGGTCAATACCTCTCACAAATACTAGTAGTGATGAAGTCCATCTCTCCTCCACTTTGAGGTTGACATGCATATTATTAATGTTAGCTCTCTGTGTACATCCAAGGGCCAGCCGTGCTGCCCTGTTCTGAGCCAATTGCAATTTTCCCAAGTCCCTTTTTGTGGCACCTGACGACACGACTGAACAGTAGTCCAGGTGCGACAAAACTAGGGCCTGTAGGACCTGCCTTGTTGATAGTGCTGTTAACAAGGTAGAGTAGCACTTTTTTATGGACAGACTTCTCCCCATCTTAGCTATTGTTGTATCAATATGTTTTGACCATGACAGTTTACAATCCAGGGTTACTCCAAGCAGCTTAGTCACCTCAACTTGCTCAATTTCCACATTATTTATTACAAGATTTAGTTGAGGTTTAGTGAATGATTTGTCCCAAATACAATGCTTTTAGTTGTTGAAATATTTAGGACTAACTTATTCCTTCCCACCCATTATGAAACTAACTGCAGCTCTTTGTTAAGTGTTGCAGTCATTTCGGTCGCTGTAGTAGCTGACGTGTATAGTGTTGAGTCATCCGCATACATAGACACACTGGCTTTACTCAAAGCCAGTGGCATGTCGTTAGTAAAGATTGAAAAAAGTAAGGGGCCTAGACAGCTGCCCTGGGAATTCCTGATTCTACCTGGATTTTGTTGGAGAGGCTTCCATTAAAGAACACCCTCAGTGTTCTGTTAGACAGGTAACTCTTTATCCACAATATAGCCATAACACATACAGTGGGGAGAACAAGTATTTGATACACTGCCGATTATGCAGGTTTTCCTACTTACAAAGCTTGTAGAGGTCTGTAATTTTTATCATAGGTACACTTCAACTGTGAGAGACGGAATCTAAAACAAAAATCCAGAAAATCACATTGTTTGATTTTTAAGTAATTAATTTGCATTTTATTGCATGACATAAGTATTTGATCACCTACCAACCAGTAAGAATTCCGGCTCTCACAGACCTGGTAGTTTTTCTTTAAGAAGCCCTCCTGTTCTCCACTCATTACCTGTATTAACTGCACCTGTTTGAACTCGTTATCTGTATAAAAGACACCTGTCCACACACTCAATCAAACAGACTCCAACCTCTCCACAATGGCCAAGACCAGAGAGCTGTGTAAGGACATCAGGGATACAATTGTAGACCTGCACAAGGCTGGGATGGGCTACAGAACAATAGGCAAGCAGCTTGGTGAGAAGGCAACAACTGTTGGCGCAATTATTAGAAAATGGAAGAAGTTCAAGATGACGGTCAATCACCCTCGGTCTGGGGCTCCATGCAAGATCTCACCTTGTGGGGCATCAATGATCATGAGGAAGGTGAGGGATCAGCCCAGAACTACACGGTAGGACCTGGTCAATGACCTGAAGAGAGCTGGGACCACAGTCTCAAAGAAAACCATTAGTAACACACTACGCCGTTATGGATTAAAATCCTGCAGCGGACGCAAGGTCCCCCTGCTCAATCCAGCGCATGTCCAGGCCCGTCTGAAGTTTGCCAATGACCATCTGGATGATCCAGAGGAGGAATGGGAGAAGGTCATGTGGTCTGATGAGACAAAAATAGAGCTTTTTGGTCTAAACTCCACTCGCCGTGTTTGGAGGAAGAAGAAGGATGAGTACAACCCCAAGAACACCATCCCAACCGTGAAGCATGGAGGTGAAAACATCATTCTTTGGGGATGCTTTTCTGCAAAGGGGACAGGACGGCTGCACCGTATTGAGGGGAGGATGGATGGGGCCATGTATCGCGAGATCTTGGCCAACAACCTCCTTCCCTCAATAATTGCATTGAAGATGGGTCGTGGCTGGGTCTTCCAGCATGACAACGACCCGAAACACACAGCCAGGGCAACTAAGGAGTGGCTCCGTAAGAAGCATCTCAAGGTCCTGGAGTGGCCTAGCCAGTCTCCAGACCTGAACCCAATAGAAAATCTTTGGAGGGAGCTGAAAGTCCGTATTGCCCAGCGACAGCCCCAAAACCTGAAGGATCTGGAGAAGGTTTGTATGGAGGAGTGGGCTAAAATCCCTGCTGCAGTGTGTGCAAACCTGGTCAACGTATGATCTCTGTAATTGCAAACAAAGGTTTCTGTACCAAATATTAAGTTCTGCTTTTCTGATGTATCAAATACTTATGTCATGCAATAAAATGCAAATGAATTACTTAAAAATCATACAATGTGATTTTCTGGATTTTTGTTTTAGATTCCGTCTCTCACAGTTGAAGTGTACCTATGATAAAAAATTATAGACCTCGACATGCTTTGTAAGTAGGAAAACCTGCAAAATCGGCAGTGTATCAAATACTTGTTCTCCCCACTGTACGTGTTTCCAGCAGCAGACTATGATCGATAATGTCAAAAGCCGCACTGAAGTCTAACAAAACAGCTCCCACAAACTTTGTATCATTAATTTTTCTCAGCCAATCATCATTCCTTTGTGTAAGTGCTGTGCTTGTTGAATGTCCTTGGCATAAGTTTTTCACATATGCTGGTGCAACCAACTTTTTGTAACCAAAGTAGCTCAAGCTATGACATTGAAATAAGGGTAATCCATTGAGCAGATTATGCATCTTCAACAGGTCTTAAAAAAATTGTGGGGCAATTGTTGAAGCACATGGCACCTTCCCTTTAAAATCATTTTACTTACATTATGACCCTTTAGCTTTCAGGTGTGCTTACTGTTACGTCCTGAACCCTGCAAGGAAGACCCGACCTCAAGCACCAAGACTCCCAGAATTTAGCTTTGAGCGGAGAATGCGCTCGGAATCACCCACCCCAGAAAAATCAGCGGCATCAGAGGCCACTGATGAGAGCGCAACCCCCTCTGGAGGTATAGTAACTAGAGTTACCGTTTGGAAATGAACTAATCATATGTAGCACTTGGCCAAATCCAGGGGTCAAAAGATCAGAGGAGTTAAGCGGACCCAAATATATCAGTGTTGACATTAAAGTTGTATTTATTTGATTCAGGGCTCTAAATTAACAGGTTCTAAATTAACAGCACTGGTGCTCCCAACTTTAAAAAGTTAGTTTAAATTTAGGAGCGCCAGAAAATACGATTAAAAAAATCGATTGAGGTATATCCTATATGAATTCTAGCTACTTCTGAAGCACATGTTGTGCCCTAGAAACTCATATGTAACCCTGTAAATACATGTTTATTATAAAAAGGTTAAAATATTGATAGAAATACCTGTCATTGAATTTAGTCATTTGTGGAATATTATGTAATAGCACTATTTTCCTGTTTTTACATTTCTGTAAAACATTTGTCATTTATCGGACGCTCATCCAGAGTGATTTAGTGCATTAATCTTAAGATATCTAGGTGGGACAACCACATACAGTGCCTTCAGAAAGTATTCACACCCCTTGACTTTTTCCACATTTTGTTATATTATAGCCTGAATTTTAAATAGATTCAATTGAGATTTTGTGTCACTGGCCTACACACAATACCCCATAATGTAAAAGTAGAATTATGTTTTTAGAAATGTTTACTAATTTAAATAAAAAACAAAAAGCTGAAATGTATTGAGTCTTAAGTATTCAACCCCTTTGTTATGACAAACCTAGATATGTTCAGGAGTAAAAATGTGCTTAATAAGCCACATGATAAGTTGCATGGACTCTCTGTGTGCAATAATAGTGTTTTAACATGATTTTTGAATGACTACCTCATCTCTGTACCCACACATACAATTATCTGTAAGGTCCCTCTGTCGCAGTGAATTTCAAACACAGATTCAACCGCAAAGACCATGCCTCGCAAAGAAGGGCACCTGTCGGTAGATGGGTAAACAAAAAACAAGCATTGAATATCCCTTTGAGCATGGTGAAGTTATTAATTGCATTTTGGATGCTGTATCAATATACCCAGTTACTACAAAGATATAGGCATCCTTCCTAACTAATTTGCCGGAGAGGAAGGAAACTGGTCAGGGATTTCACAATGAGTCCAAAGGTGACTTTAAGACAGTTACAGAGTTTAATGGCTGTGATGGGAGAGAACTTGAGGATGGATCAACAACATTGTAGTTACTCCACAATACTAACCTAAATGACAGTGACCAACTTGGTTAGTCATGAATTCATAATCTTCAAGTCATTAGAATTACATGGTAAATGTAGCATAGTGTTTTGCTATAAACTCAATGATCAATTAACCATTTTTGTATTTTTGTGCATGTTTGTTTTATAATATTTACCATTGCTTTATACATTGTCTTTGAATAGCTGATCAAAGTGAAGACTGTGGTCCCAGTCATGTGGCTACCAGGGTGCCCACTGTGTCTTTAGCAACTGCTTCATGGAGTTCAGTGCACAGTTTCGCCATTGTCCACCATCACCACAAAGGTCCCATCTTATCCACAGCCTGGTGCTTTGCATTCCCTTACAAATAATGATTTTAGTCCTACCAATCACTTACCCTGATTAAAGGCTATTTAAATGATGTGGCTTCTTGTGGCATCTGGCCCCATAATCGTATCACAATCTTAATATGATCAAGCAACTAACAACCAGAGTTGGGGTCAATTTATTTTTAATTCAGGAAATTAACTGAAATTCCAGTTTTACCCTTCTGTCTGATATCACAGCTACACATGGCATGGCATCACAATGATGTTGCTGCATTATTTCATGTTGGACCATTAAAATGACCATCAATTGACCATTATACTGATTCCACTCTTTTAACCCTGAGAGTTGTTGATAATTAACTTAATTCTGGAGTAATGTAAAGCTTCAGCGTTTGCAGATCGGGTCATTGGGTATAATATTAACAGGCTGTGCATGCTGCAAATTATTATTGTTGTGTAATTACACAAAGTTGTAGTGATTAAATGTTTTGACTGTTAAAATTATTTAACTCATTCACTCACCCCCCCCACACACACTTCTTTCTCTGATATTTTAGTAATGTTTGATAGGCTGCTCTGACAGTTTGACAGTAATATTATACAGTAAATATATTATAGTGGCTTATGAATGTGTGATTTGTACATAGTGGCTCAGAGGCAGAGAGAGAGTCCTGTTATCAGAAACAAACAAGTGGTAGATTGTATTGTTGATGTCTGTCTTCTGGTTGCAGATGAGAAGGAGCTGGAGGCCCCTTCTGATGAAGTGGAGCCCCAAGTTGAAAAGGCCCAGTCTACAGAGGAGACCCCAGACCCCAATGTAGAGAAACCAGAGGCCGCAGAGACCGTACACACAGAAGAGGAGCCTGAGAGACCAGGAGAAAAGCAAGAAGTCCCCCAGTTGGAAACAGAGTAGAAAACATTGAATGCCCCCCTCCCACCCTCCCCTCCATGTATATCAACTGACATGGTGCAGTGTTTAAAATCATGTGGTACCCAGCTCCTGGATTTACATAAGCTGCTTGTAATGCACAATGTTTTATGTAGATGTTGTTTGGTAGTGAAATAATAATCTATTTTGCTTGGAGTTTACATATTATATACCTTTCCAGTCAAGTTGCATTCAAACCCATATAGAGCAAGAATTGACCACTTTTTTCTCTCTCTCACTTAAACCATAACTTTGCGGGTGTGTAGAGAGCCTTTCTTACATTGACTTTGATTATCAAAATTACTGATTTGGCAAATCCACTTTTTTTTTTTAAAAGATACGTTTGCCAAATGCACTGGTCCTGTCTCGTTCCTGATTTGCACTGAATGTGTTATTTATTAGGCTACACAATAAATAGTTAAGACATGTTTTTAATTTACTTACAGCAGTTCTGTTGTGCCTTGCTATGGAAATATTGAAATGTGTCCGCTCATAAGCCTAGTTTGTAAACAAAAGTTTTGCCTACAGAGTGAGAATAGAATGAATTTGAAGATACTTTTATTCTGGCTAAGAAATAAATAAAAATGTCATTTTGTGTTGGAGCTTAATTTGTATGTCAGGTTTTCGGCACATTGTCGAACTTTGTAGACTCTTATTAAATCTCATGTGCAAGCATTGCCATCATATGTGAAATAATATAGACTTCATAAATAAGATCTCACCAATAATGGGATTAACAGAATACGGTATTTTGGCACATTAGATGTCGGGAGTCTATATACCAGCATTCCCCATGCTGGCAGCCCTAGCTCACTATTTGAGAGACCGAGATACTAACAAATACCCACCAACAAACTTTATTCTAGAGCTGGCTGAATATGTTTTGATGTATACATAATTCAGGTTTGATGATGAATACTACCTCCAAACAAAAGGAGCATCGATGAGCTCCACATTCGCTCCAAGCTATGCTAACCTTGATGTGGGTCATTTTGAAGAACGTTTTGTTAACAATGAAAATCCATTTTTGAATAAAATCCTGAAGTGGTATCGATATATTGACGACATTTTTTGCATATGGGGAGGAACGGGAGAAGAGCTGTCAGACTTTATGGCATTACTCAATGACATTGACCCCAATCTCAAATTCACTATGGAATGTGACAAATATGTTCATTACCTCGATATGTGGTTTGAGAAATTAAATGGAACCCTGTTTACAACTCTGTACAGAATTGAAACGGATAGAAATACTCTAGTACAGGGGGACAGCTTCCACCCTGAGCCATTAAAAAGAGGACTTCCAAGAAGCCAGTTAGGAGATACGCAATAGGTTTCTAAGAAGAGGCTACTCCCCACTATGAGTGGATGAAGCTCTTGATTTGGTATTAGGGAAAACACGAAATTAACGGCTACAAAAAAGACCCACTAGAGCTAAAGAACACTCTGTAATGTTCACAACCATTATACACTTTGAACTCGTGCAAAGTGGGAGATGCTGTCAAGAAACACTCGTATGTTTTATCATCGGACCCAGCTCTGCCAGCTAAATTTAAGAACCCACCACATTGTATATAGGAGAGGTCGCAATTTACACGACAAATTGGTCCATGCCAACTGCCATCCACAAAAGAAAATAAGACAGGCTATTTTACGCCCTCTTCCGAATGTTAGCTATAAATGCAGAAGTTGCGCACAGTGCGAATATTTCTGCCACCCACATACAGGAAAACGGTTCCAAATAAATGACATTATTACGTGCTCCACCACCCATGTTATCTATATGATTAAATGTCCATATGGGCTGTGTTATGTAGGTAAAACATCTCGTTCTCTCAGAGTATTAGTGAACATAAAAGTTAAATCAGGAGAAACTACAGGGATTATCCGGTCAAAGTTCATTTTAATGACCAAAAACATGACATTTCTACCTTTAGATTTTGTAGCATAGAGAAAGTCAAGATATCAAACCGGGGAGGTGATATAAATAATACTCTGAGCAAAAGCGAATGTTTCTGTATTTTCACCCTCCAGATATTATACCCAAAAGTTCTTAATGATGAAATGGCCATGAATGTTATGTTGTAAATATGAACATGAGTTAATGCCGCCACTTCAGATTACGTTTTTTCTTGTACTGTAACCAATGATTTATGAAAACTTATTTGATAGGTCGATGTCCTCATTGTGGTTTCAAATCAAATTGTATTTGCCACATGCACCGAATACAACAGGTAGACCTTACAGTGAAATGCTTACTTACAAGCCCTTAACACTTATTTTTCTTAAAACTGCATTGTTGGTTAAGTAAAAAAGAGATCAGTACAAAATAAAAATAACAAAGTCTTGTTTAATACGTTTTATGTACACACTTCCTTAGAATTATTAGAATACTTATGAAATGCATATTGTTATATTTTGGGAACATGCTTGTTTTCCTTATACACCAACCCCAATCGATGCATTGAACGGATGTGGGTGGAGCAATGTTTATATAAGGGTGCAAATTAAAAACACTCACAAAAACTCTGAAGAAGGCCTTGTGGCCGATACGTAAAGCTTAATAAAAAGAGCAACGATACTAGCAAGAGCAGTGTGCAGGTTTCTTATTTTTTCTCAGGTTTTCAGCACACCAAATCTTTGCAAATGCCTGTTTTTATTAGTATGTACATGGCACGCCAAATAAAGTTGTTTAAAAAATAAAATAAAAAACATTTATGTTCTCAATCAATTCATAGTAGACTATTGAAACAAGACATAAATGGTATGTCTACTTCATATAACTCCAGGGTAGACTGCAGTGCTTTGCAGGCAGCGCAATAGCGGGCTGCCAGCACCATATGAGATTGGCCCAAATATATTTATTATGTTTTGGATCTTACTGACATGAAATTCATAGAAAGGTCCCTTGGGGGAAGGATGTTTGGCATACCTTTGACGTATGCAAAATAATTACTGAGAAATAACAAATAAGTTGGGAAATTTTTGACATTTTGGCCTTACCCAGGCCTTAAGACACTACAACGATGAGTAAAATTGTGCTTAACAAGTCAGATAAGTTGCATCGACTGTGTGCAATAATAGTGTTTAACATGGTTTTTGAATGACTACCTCATCTCTGTAGCACATACATACAATTACATTTAAGGTTCCTCAGCCGGGCAGTGAATTTCAAACACAGATTCAACCACAAAGACCAGGGAGGTTTTCCAATTCCTCGCAAAGAAGGGCACCCACTGGTAAAAAAAACAGCACCTTTGAGCATGGTGAAGTTATTAATTACACTTTGGATGGTGTATAAATACACCCAGTCACTACGAAGATACAGGCGTTTTTCCTAACTTAGTTGCCGGAGAGGAAGGTAACCGCTCAGGGATTTCACCATGAGGCCAATGGTGACTTTAAAACAGTGAGGATGGATCAACAACATTGTAGTTACTCCAAAATACTAACCTAACTGACAGAGTGAAAAGAAGGAAGCCTGTACAGAATAAAATATTCCAAAACATTCATCCTGTTTGCAATAAGGCACTAAAGTAAAACTGCAGAAAATGTGGCAAAGAAATGACCTTTATGTCCTGAATACAAAGCGTTATGTTTGGGGCAAATCCAACACAACGCACCACTGAGTACTACTCTTCATATTTTTAATCATGGTGGTGGATGAATCATAGCCACCATCATGGTGGTCCTCTGTAGCTCAGCTGGTAGAGCATGGTGCTTGTAACACCAAGGTAGTGGGTTCGATCCCTGGGACATCCCATACACAAAAAATGTATGCACGCATGACTGTAAGTCGCTTTGGATAAAAGCGTCTGCTAAATGGCTTATTATATATTATTATATTATAATCATGATATGGGTATGCTTGTCATCTGCAAGGACTAGGGAGTAAAATAAATAAAAACAATTGGAATAGAGCTAAGCACAGGCAAAATCCTAGAGGAAAACCTGGTTCAGTTTGCAACAGAAACTGGGAGACAAATTCACCTTTCAGCAGGACAATAACCTAAAACACAAGGCCAAATATACACTGGAGTTGCTTACCAAGACAACATTGAATGTTCCTGAGTGGCCTAGTTACAGTTTTGACTTGAAAATGGCTGTCTAGCAATGATCAACAATCAACTTAACAGAGCTTGAAGAAATTTGAAAAATAATAATGTGCAAATATTGGACAATCCAGGTGTACAAAGCTCTTATAGACTTATCCAGAAAAACTCACAGCTGTTATTGCTGCCAAAGGTGACTAACATGTATTGACTACTTGTCACGACTTCCTCCGAAGCTGCCTCCCCTCCTTGTTCGGGCAGGCTTCGGCATTCGTCATCACCAGAGTTTTCATCTATATTTTTTGTAGCTGTCTATTTACAACCACAAACCGATGCTGGCACTAAGACCACACTCAACGAGCTGTATAAGGCCATAAGCAAACAAGAAAATGCTCATCTAGAGGCGGCGCTCCTAGTGGCCGGGGACTTTAATGCAGGGAAACTTACATCCGTTTTACCAAATTTCTAACAAGCATGTTAAATGTGCAACCAGAGGAAAAAATACTTTTGACCACCTTTACTCCACACACAGAGACGCGTACAAAGCTCTCCCTCGCCCTCCATTTGGCAAATCTGACCATAATTCTAGCCTCCTGATTCCTGCTTACAAGCAAAAACTAAAGCAGGAAGTACCAGTGACTCGCTCAATACAGAAGTGGTCAGATGACGCTGATGCTAAGCTACAGGACTGTTTTGCTAGCACAGACTGGAATATGTTCTGGGATTCTTCCGATGGCATTGAGGAGTACACAACATCAGTCACTGGCTTCATCAATAAGTGCATAGATGACGTCGTCCCCACAGTGACCAATCATACAGTGGCTTGCGAAAGTATTCACCCCCCTTGGCATTTTTCCTATTTTGTTGCCTTACAATGGATTTTTTGGGGGTTTGTATCATTTGATTTACACAACATGCCTACCACTTTGAAGATGCAAAATATGTTTTATTGTGAAACAAAGAAGAAATAAGACAAAAAAACAGAAAACTTGAGCATGCATAACTTTGTAGAGCCACCTTTTGCAGCAATACAGCTGCAAGTCTCTTGGGGTATGTCTCTATAAGTTTGGCATATCTAGCCACTGGGATTTTTACCCATTCTTCAAGGTTGGATGGGTTCCGTTAGTGTACAGCAATCTTTAAGTTATACCACAGATTCTCAATTGGATTGATGTCTGGGCTTTGACTAGGCTATTCCAAGACATTTAAATGTTTCCCCTTAAACCACTCAAGTGTTGCTTTAGCAGTATGCTTAGGGTCATTGTCCTGCTGGATGGTGAACCTCCGTCCCAGTCTCAAATCTCTGGAAGACTGAAACAGGTTTCCCTCAAGAATTTCCCTGTATTCCGCGCCATCCATCATTCCTTCAATTCTGACCAGTTTCTCAGTCCCTGCCGATGAAAAACATCCCCACAGCATGATGCTGCCACCACCATGGATGGTGTTCTCGGGGTGATGAGAGGTGTTGTGTTTGCACCAGACATAGTGTTTTCCTTGATGGCCAAAAAGGTCAATTTTAGTCTCATCTGACCAGAGTACCTTCTTCCATATGTTTGGGGAGTCTCCCACATGCCTTTTGGCGAACACCAAACGTGTTTGCTTATTTGTTTCGTTAAGCAATGGCTTTTTTCTGGCCACTCTTCCGTAAAGCCCAGCTTTGTGGAGTGTACGGCTTAAAGTGGTCCTATGGACAGATATTCCAATCTCCGCTGTGGAGCTTTGCAGCTCCTTCAGGGTTATCTTTGGTCTCTTTGTTGCCTCTCTGATAAATGCCCTCCTTGCCTGATCCGTGAGTTTTGGTGGGCGGCCCTCTCTTGGCAAGTTTGTTGTGGTGCCATATTCTTTCAATTCTTTAATAATGGATTTAATGGTGCTCCGTGGGATGTTCAAAGTTTCTGATATTTTTTTATAACCCAACCCTGATCTGTACTTTTCCACAACTTTGTCCCTGACCTGTTTGGAGAGCTCCTTGGTTTTCGTGGTGCCGCTTGCTTGGTGGTGCCCCTTGCTTAGTGGTGTTGCAGACTCTGGGGACTTTGATAACAGGT